TGCTTACTTAGGCGAATTTCTCCGTGTTTTGCGTGCATTGGCAGCATGCACTTTTAAAGGCACGGGAAGAAAAGGCTGCAGCAGAAAGAGCAGAGGAAGCAAACAAGGCACTGCCGCTCATGGTGGGACGTACTTTTTCTAATTGACGTGTTGCATCTCTATCTTGTGTAGGACGTACATTCGCAAGTAGTGTTTTCCGAGCAGCTAGTCGTGTACGAAAGAGTTCGTTTCGCTTGCGTCGAGGAGTTGTCCGTTTTTTTGCTTTCTTAACCCCAGTGGGCAGAACGGTGCCCGAGATCACAAGTTGGAAATGGCCGTCCTCCTCAACCAAGACATCCATGACGCCCCACCTCGGACCCACGTGGCGGCATTTGCGGCCCGTTTGGTGTTTTGGAGAGGTGCTTGCAGAAGTTGTTTTGTGCAGCCATTTAGCGAGGTGTCACTGAACTTGACAAGCGTCGAGAACACTTTGGAGCCCTTTCGGTCAGCAACATCTTGGCAACAGTCGCTTTTCAAGTTGTCCGAACTTGCTACGCACAAAAAGGCGGACGGCACATGCCTTCGAGCGACGTGTGCACCAGAACCCCAAACCCCAAACGCTGAATTCTGGACTATATCCTGGCCCGTTGTCCTGAACCTTTACACCCTGATCCCTCAACCTTCCCCAGGCGAACAAGGAGCTTCTTGCGGCGATAACTGCGGTGATGGAAGGAGGCAACGTCAAAGTCCTGAAGGAGGCGATCCAAAAGGCAGAGAAGATGGAACATGCCCCCGAGGCCTTGGACCAAAATTCCGAAGTCTTCAGGCCTCAAGCCCAATGGGGTTTAGGGCCTAGATTTTCGTTAATGATAAGCCCGAAAACCCTACATCCCAAGCCGCGGACCCCAAAGCCCTAACAATGCTTGACCTGCTTTCGGAAGAAGCAGCCAGGCGCTTACTGCAGCACGTGCCACGATGTCTGCAGGGCGCTCAGAGTCTACCAGGCCAGTTAATGCTTCAAGGTTGGATTGTGGGTGTTGGGATGTTATGGATCGGCATGTACGGCTTTGGATCGGTAAGACTGAGGGTTCTCGCGCATGAAGCCCAAGACCTCGAGCCCAAGCCCTGAACCACGCTCAACCACCCTGAGCCCTCAACTCTCAACCCGACATTGCAACCCTAAACCCTAAATCCTAAACCTAAATTCTTAAAACAAAAAACCTAAACCCTTAGCCCTAAAGCCTAGCTCAAAGGCCCACACCAGACCCGGAAGGGGTGCCTCGCGCTCCTGTTCGCTGGTGCCTCGGTTGCCAACCTTCGGGGCCTGTCACTCGGTTTTAGGGTTCTTGCAGCTCTTCAGTGATGGAGCTGGGGTGTAGGGTTTAGGGTTTAGCATCCCACAGGCGGCGTTTCCTGGTGACGACAAACTACCGACCACTTTTCCGTCGCAACTTGGAAGCGTCACCCCTCCGCCCGAGATTTGCAGGGTTTGGGGTTTAGGATTCAGAATGTAGGTTTAGGGGCCCCCAATTCTAGGTAAACCCTAAGCTTTAAACACTAAACCCCCAAGCCAGGAAACGGCGTCTCCCCATTGCAGGGCCCGGGAATCTGGTCTCTCGTACGGAACCCCCGATCGGCTTGGCTCGGCGGCGAGAATCCGAAACGACCCTAAGCCATACCAAGAAACAGCGGCGCCCCCCCATCCTGAGACGGGCACCCTCCCTAAACCCTAAACCCCAAACTCTAAACCCGGAACCACTCCTTCACTTCGAGGTTCATGTGGTTCTTACAGGGTCTTCAGGTTCAGGGTTGAGGGTCTAGTCTAGGTTTCGGGTTCAGGGTTTAGGGCTTAAAGGTTTCGGGTTTAGATCTGGGTTTAGGGTTTGGGGGGACCCCGAGCCGTCCAAGGTACTGGATCAAGGACTGTAGGGAAGTAGATGAGCAGGGTTGGATTCTCCACCCCGTTCGCGACGACACTTTGAAGCTCGTCTCGCAGTTATGTGGTCTTAGGACTACTTGTGCGACAGAGGGTTCTGGCCTGTGGAAGGGTCCCGATGTTAGGGTTGGGGTTCTAGAGTCGAGGGACGTCCAGGGTTCAAGATGTGGTGATTGTTTTGGCTTCGAGTTGAATGGGCTGACGGACTGCAGGAAAAAAATTGAACATATCTTCCGCGTCCGTCAACCGCGCGAGCTTGGGAGGGGACGGGACGCACAGAAGCATCTTGGCCAAATCCCAACCCTCCTGGTTTAGGGCATAGTCCATGAAATCCGGAACCCTCAACCCCGAAAGCCCCCGGAACTGCCCACATTCTATTGGCTGGTTACAGGATGCGGTTTAGGGCTGTGTTATTAGCAAGCAAGCTCTTGGACCAATTTGGGCGTGTTGCGGAGTGTTTGCGGATCTTAACAGGCCGGCTGGCTTGACCGGACATGTTCGGTCCTAAACCTGCTAAATCCGAAGTTGCAATTCTGCGAGCCCCGAAACCTAGCACGGATCTGCAGACCCAACGAAGGAACCAGAAAACCTTCATCCCTAAACTTCAGGTATGACCGGAAATACACAAACCTTCAAGTCCATTGTGCTTGGCGGCTGGAGCATGAGACCAAATGGGGCGTGACTCTTGACAGCAGCTTTTTCGGGCTTTGCAGAAAGCCGCCGCAGGCTTCGGGGGGGGTCATGAAAGAAAGGTCTGCCCAGAGAGCGCTGCCCCTAAACCCTGAACCCTAACTTTAGGGTTTAAGGTTTAGGGTCAGCAGGTTTTGGGCAAGGGTCTGAGGATGGCTGCTGCTGCACGCAGCCCAGGTACGCCGCGAAAAGGAACGAGGTGCTGAACAACATGAAGCAGATCCGGGCAAAAAAGCTGGACGTGCGGCAGCCTGCGAGAGTTGCCTGGATGAAATCAGCCAGAAACTTGGCAGAGTTTCAGTTCGTGGTGTGGGGGGAAGGCATTTAGTGGAACCTTAAGCCCCAAACCCCAAACCCCACGCAAGTAGAAGTAGAACTCAGTAGAACTGGTATACAATTCTGGAGAAGCCCCATACAGGTCGAAGCTCAGGTAATAGGAAAACTGGGTGCTCTGACAAGTCGGTAATGTTGCAATCCAGGCGGTAGCATCCCTACCAGCGCTTATCCAACGAAGCCACCCACGCACCGCGTCTACGTGAGGATACCTTGAGGTAGCAAATCTCAAGGGGTTAATTAACAGCGTCGAACGGGTTTCCGCTTAAGTCGTCCAGCGGTTTAGCCGCACTCTCACCAGCGCACACGAACCTTTGTTCAACGGGTTGCCCCTTAAGTGATCCACCGTCCGCGACGTCGGTGCACAGACAGGGCAAAACGCTGTACAAAGGGGGGAATCTTGAGTAATGAAATACTCTCAAAGGAGCTCCTCTGAGCCAAGCGCTGCAGCGGCTCAGATTGATCGGAGTTCAACATGCTGTACAGCTGTACATGTTCAACATGTCTCTTGCGAGTTCTGCCAGTAGCCGCCGAAGCATGAAGCTTCTCCTCGCAAGGACCATCTCACCATCATCCGTTATCTGATATCCCCACCATCATCCTCAACATCACAGCTATCCGACACATCATGTCACTTCCCACTGGCAAAACCCGAAAGATTATCCGGAGCTTCCTGCTACCCCCAGTTACTTTTACTTGATGCGCCAAACACGCCAAATCCTAAAGCCTAAACCCTGAACTGCCCGCTGGTCTTTGCCGGCCAGTGGCATGTAAAGGATCGAGGGGTTTGGGGCCGGTCTTCAGGGGAGTTTAGGGATTAGGGACGCCTCTGAAGCTCAAAGCCTCTAACCCTACGTTGCGGCTGCCAGGAAGCTGACTTCGGAGTTGTACATGGACCAGGCCATGCGCTTCAGACTTACTTAGGGTTTAGGGTTTAGGGTTCCGACTTTACATGGCAATTTCTTGGCTCGCTGCCCCGTGCAGGTGGGGGAGCGCTACTTGCTGCATGGAACTTCCCCGGAAGTGCTGTTGAGCATCCTTCACCAAGGCTTCACGGAGAAGCTCTCGAGCTTGAAAGGCGGGCTGTTCTAAAACGAGAACCCTAAACCCTAGACCCGAAACCCCTAAACCCAAAACCGGTCGGAGGGTCAGGCTTCCTCCCCACCCTCCCCTTCCCAACTGCCGCTCAGGTCCACGCGGTGACTTGTACTCGCGTCGGCTCCTAAAAGTCTCAGGAACGGCCTCGCCTCGCTTCCTTGAGCTGAGGCCCCCACCCCGTTGCTGAGGCGCTTGTGGACTCCCTATCCCTGAAAGGGCCTGCTCCTCTGAGTTCCTGCCCATCAATCCTCTATAGCAATCCGCTATTTTCCTGTCCTCACGCATTGCAGGGTTGTTCTCGGCCCTTTTTAGGGTCTTCTTGGGTGTTCTTTTAAAGGCTTTTGGCATGCGATGGCACACCTTCAGCCACGGTGAGCGTTCGTGTTGCATTCACAGGATTGAAGGCTCAAGCGCTGTAGCCGGGTTGACGATGGCTGGCATGGCCATGCCATGACTCTGGAGATGCGCAAGCGAAAGAGGTGCAACCAGGAACTCGAAATCAGGCTGGAGAAAGTGGGTGCTGGCTTGCGAGTGATGGGATTGCCGAAAGACATCGAGAAGGGCCTTTGTGAGGATGACCCAGCCGTCGCACTAGACTGGGACACGGCCAATTTGCAGGCGATGGTTGATGCCATCAATGCAGCTGCTGTAGGGGTGGTTCCGCCTCCGCCGTGGGATGCTGGGGCTTATCCGATCACTCCCACACAGCTCCAGCAGGCCATCCTCGCCCGTGTTCAAGCATTGGCAGGTGGCGGAGGCGTTGTGGGGCGGTTTGTTCTGGCGCCCAACACGATGCAGCAGTATGGAAACATCAAAGCGCAGCTGTGTGTTCTCGGCTTGGACCCACTCTTTACTGCTCACCCAGCACATGTACCAATCGCGCGAGCCTATGTGCTTGCAGACAGGAGGAACGCCACAACAGCTGTCGCGGACCCGATCCCAGCCCCTCCTGCCCCAGGAGTGGCGCTTATACAGTAGCTTGGGCAAGGCTTCCGAGCGAGAGTAGGACAGGATGGAGACCTTCTAATCCACTTTATCATGTGATCATTTCCCGCAAGACTAGTCACCACTGTTTGACACAAGAGCGTGAGAAGAACTCCATGAAATACAAACGTCGCAAAGACATCACCAGTGGATTGCCAGGAAAAAAGAGCGTGCACGCAATTTTTTTGGCTGTTTGGTGGTGGTGGTGGTGGTGGGGTGCCAGGGGACTGCCGACCCCCCCCCTTTCCGGTCCTTAGGTTTCATTTTCCAGCTCGTCGTCCTCTTCTAGTCCCGGCCTCTTTTCGTCGTGCGCTTGGTGGCGGTGGGTATCAGGCCAGCGGGTCAAAGAGAACGAAAGGATTAACACTGTCCCTACAATCCTTGGGGTTGTAGCTGTCTCCTGCAAGGCTGCAGGCTATTGCCAGGCTGCAGGCTACTGCTGCAGGCTTCTACCAGGCTCTTCCAGTCTTTTTGCTCGCCGCCTGTTTGTGCGCAGCTTGGGACGTGCATCGGCTATTGTCCCCCAGAAGTGTGCGTAAGTCTCCTTTGCCTGCCCTTTGCCCCCTTGCAGGCCCGAAGCGGTGGACGCACTGACGGTTATCCTGGTGCCGGGCCCTCTTCGTTTGCAAGCCTCTTCGTTTCGCACATGGTGGTGGTCTCGCGGTCGGGCCGTTGGTGTTCGTTCCGTCCGTCTCGCGTCTTCGTGCCGTCTTCGGTTTGTTTTCGGGCGGGGTCGCTTGGGTGGCCGAAACCCGTTTCCGCGTGCCGCCACCGCCCGGTGTCCTGAGGTCACCTTGTCACCCCGTCACCTTTGTAACCCCCGCCCCCCTGTCTGGGCGTACCGCCGCCCTTGTGTCCTGGAGGTCACCTTTGTCACCCCGTCACCTTTGTAACCCCCCCCTCGGTGCATCCGGCTCCTGATGGCTCCCCGGCGTCGACACGAAAATGACAGTGACAGGGTGACGGGAGGAGTTTGGGGAGGTGACAAAGGTGACCCTGGAGGTTCGCGGGGTCGAGAGTTTGGGGAGGTGACAAAGGTGACGGGGTGACGGGAATCGGCCCTGGAGGTCCGGAATTGGGCCTGGAGGTGCGTGGGGTCGAGATTTTGGAGAGGTGACAAAGGTGACACGGTGACGGGGTGACGGGAAGTGGTTGTTGGAGGCTGTGAGTTCGAAGTTTCGGGGGAGGGGGGAGGGAGGTGGCAAAGGTGACAGGGTGACAAGTCGGTGGAAGTGGTGCTGGGGTCATTCTGCTAGTGCGAGTCGTGCGAGAAGATCCGGCCCGCGCCCGCAAAGGTTTATTGCTTAGTGGCCTGATTCTCGTGCGTGCGGTTAGAGCAATGGCAGCCGAAGAGCCGGCTGAGAAGCGCAAGCGGGTGGACAACGACATTTACACGAGTTTTGCCATGATTTGCTTGATGTCGACATGTTCTGTGTGTTGTTTTGCAAGTTTGGAAATCGCACTTGAGTTTGCATGTATTGAGTTGGCCGGCGATGCATCCTTCAAGTTTCAGACACATGTGTGGCAGCGGGGGGTAACACAAGAGTTTGAATCCTGAGAGTCGCCGCACCACAACTAAGAAAGGCTGCACAGACACAAGGATACAGTGACTGAACGCCGGGGCCCTGGAGTGCTGCGTAGGACGTGGCAGGCAGTGCAGGTAGGCCGTAGGCAGTGCAACCAGGACGTTAGGTGTCAAGAGTGCCCTGCGCTGCCCTTTTCCTGCAGTTCTAGTTTGCCCCGTTGTTCCCGGCACCCCCTCGGTCCTTGTTGCGGCCAGGTTTACCGTTTTGGATCGGATTGACAAGCAGGGTTTAGGGAAGAGGGTCTAGGGCAGTCTAGGGGCGCCTTGAGGCGTTTTGGTACGGCTTTCTGCGTGCTTCAGGACCGTGTGCTTGGCAGCCCCAGAAATACAAGTGTCCAGGCAGGTTGAGGGTTGCAGCTGGGTCTTCACAGCGCCCTGTACCCCAAGCTCTCCTTTCACCCAGGCTTTCTGAAGGAGTGCTGGAGTGAGGTTTGGCACGCTCAACCAAAAAGCCCCCAACCCCTGCCCTAAACCCAGAAGCAATCAATGCAAGCCCAGAGCTCGAAAGCTGAAAACCGTAAACCCGCCAACTCCAGACCTTGAACCTTCAAGTTAACTTAAAGTCCAGAACTTGAGACCGTTTGTGTACAGCGGGGAGACCTGACAGGTGTAGTGTCAGACACGAGCCCGCCCCCTGAGAAGGCCACGCGCCTGAGCGCATTGACTTGGTTAGGGTCTAGGGTTTCGCGTTCAGCCCTTTCCTGAAACAACAAGCGCCCTGCAACCGAGCTTCAAAGCGCCGCGGGATGAGGCCTGGAGAAGCGTGTCTGTCTGAGCCCGAGGCACGAGGGAATTCAGAGAAGCCAAGAGATCAGAAGAGCAAAGGGGACCCAGATTGGAAGGTGTGGAGCAGAGTTTGCGCACTGGAGGTGCTGCCGCAAGACATGCGGAACACGACTTTGGTTGAAGGTGCGAAAAATGTGAGTGCACGTTTGTCTTGCTTCACAGCTTCGGTACGGGTTCGGTAGGTAATGGTTGGGTAGTAAGGAATTCCTTTTTCAAAGAAAGTGAGGTAATTGTGGAATTACCAGGTTGTGTTGACGAGCGTTCATGCAGGAAAAGCTACCGAGGAGCAACCTTTGTCCCAAAATCTACGTAGAATATTTTTGGACCAGTGTAAACCTACTCAAGCTTTCCCTGAGCCTGTGCCTGTGCCTCGCTCCCTACAGAAGACTTGGTATATTTCCTCTTGCAACTCCCTTCAATCCTGATGAAAATTCAAAAAGGCCTAGCCGTTGTTCCAAGGGCACTTCCGAGGTTTGCCTTGTTTAGGTGCTGTAGGGCTTTAGGGCTGCCAAATCCATTTTTAAAAGCAAGGTCTATCCCTATAATATAATAACCTATCTCTTTGGCTATCTTTCTTATCGTCCTCCCCTTCTGATATAACTCTAAAAATTTCATTTTATATAAATTTATAATTTTGTCTTCGGCAATTCACATAAATTTTGCAAATCTTATTATAAATACCTTAAAATTATTAGGCGGTTGATACCTTTTATATAAAGAGCAAATTTTAATATTATTATTGAATGTGTTATTTTTATTTATGTATCTGTTTAATTCAACTGTTAGTTTCTTAATAAATTTTGATATTATACTTAATATTTGATTTCAGAATAAAAATTCTAAAATCAAATTAATTATATACTTTCTTGAAGTGCATTCTACCTTTGCCGCTCATGCCATGTATATATATTCTTTTTCCACTTGCTTGTAGGCCCAAGTACAGAGCATGTCTTTTAAACCAATTACATGTACCATAGTTGAAAGTGCCAT